CCTGGTGTTATTTCTCCCCAGATGCAGGACTGTACACTTGTCTGTATTGCACTTCATGAGGTTCCCCTTTGCCCAGCTGTCCAGCCTGTCCAGACCTCGTTGGATGGCAGCACAGCCTTTCCGTGTGTCAGTCACCCCTCCCAGTTTTGTATCATCAGCAAGCTTGCTGAGGGTATACCCTGTCCCCTCATCCAGGTCTTCTCATCTGCTTCTGCTACATTTTACAAGAACAAATACCCATTCAAATGACACGACTACAAATGATACAACGACAAAGTATTTGTGATGATTCTTCCTAGATGTCTAACTGATTTACTATAACTCATAAGACTCCTTTAGATCCAACCTTACATCTTTGTAAAGGGTATCAGCAGGTTATTTTCAGTGAAAACTGTAGTTTTCTATTTTTGCAGCTGGCACTGAAAATTTCCTGTGAATGTAAATAAACTACACATACCTATATCCAGTACTCAAAAATCATAGTATTAATTTCACATGTGAACATTACTCTCTTTTGTTCTTCTACATGCAAAGCAAGTTTGTACCTCTTTATATGGAGGTAAGTAATTAAAAACTGGAACAGAAAAACTTAACAGAAGGATAAATATTGAGGTTAAGATTTCACAGACCATCATTAGACATCAAAGAATCTGTAAATAAATAAGTACTTCAGATCTAATGAATATTCAAGTCACATCATTTCCTTGAATTACCAAGTTGTGTGCAAAGCAAGTATTGGAAAAAAATCTGTAAAAAAAAAATATACAGCTGTTGGAATTGGTATATATGGTTTTCCCTCTATTTTAAGTGGGTGAAAACACTGTATTTTCAGCTATAGTTGTTACATTTGCCTTGTTCTTTCAACTACAGATCCTCACTCTCACCACATATTTTTTATGTCCTCAGTTAAAACAAATGACTGGTCCATGATTCATGTGCCTGGACTCACGATGAAATAGCAGAAGCCTCTGTCAGGAGAAGAATGATCAGGTATATGCAGGGGCAAAGGGTCAGTTACAAGCTCTTAAATGCAATAAATTAAACCCTGAGTAAAAAAACATTACCATTTAACATCCTAGCTTATACACAGGGACAGAAAATGCAACCTAAAGAAAAATCTTTTAACGACTTCACTGAGTCCATGATTTCTCCTGGAGTTCTCACCTTTGCTCCCAAGTGACACAGGAACATATTTCAAGCTGTTCAAGTTGTCTGGAAGTACTAGTGTCTATTTCTACCTAATGACTCTCTTACCTCTTGGTTTGCCTTGTAGAATATGCTTACCAGAGTGTTTCTTGTATGTATTAATACAGAACCACGTAAGATGAGGGGGGTTTTAAATTGCAATTAGACTACCTCTCCATTTTTCAAGCATACCAAAACACTCTGTCTACTCAAGGTAGATACTTGCCAATTAAGCAAAGGTGGAAGTTTTTTTCTGCCAGGTTATGGTTCACAGAACAACATCTGATCTTACCTCTCCATTCTCCAGAGGATGAATTTTTGAATAATAAGAAGTGCATATGACTTCATCATCTTTAATATAGGATGGAGTTCCAGGACGGGGATGAATGTTGTAGCGTGTCAGGCACTCACTGTCTGTGATAGCGTAATACTGCCATGGTTGATAGTTTACACCATCCAGCGAGCGCTCTAATATCCAATTCCCAGGTCGAGGTGAGTTAGCTGCTTTCACAATAACATATGCAATCTGGAAAATCTGAAAAATAGATGAATTGTCAAATACTTGTACACACATAATTATATATTCATTCTGATTTCTTAACAGTTGCCAAACTAAGAACATGATAAATATGGTAAATATGATAGTTTGATTTTTTCCCCTAAAAATGCAATATGGCCTCTGATTCCATTGACATTCTTTAACTACAAAAAAAAATCTCCATTACCATATCTGAATAAAAGATTAGTTGCATTAGGCCAATAGAGACTTAGAAAACAGAATTAAAAAGCACCTGAAATTCCACATAACAGGTAATTACTAAGCTGATGTTTCAGCCAAATGTTTACAAAATTTGTTTTTAAGTATCTTCAATTGGTAGAAGTGGGTTTGCTTCTGTATGTGTATTTATAGACACACACCTTCTGCAATGTTCATGAGTTGCCAAACTCTGTTACAGCTTTTTCGCTGTTAAGAAAAAACATAGGTTTAAGCTATTGAAAGGTAATCACATCATGCTGAAATCATTCTATAAAACACTCTTGTTTCAATCATGACTTGGCACTGTGGCCACAAATAAGCTTTATGGGACAGAGAAACATCAAGTATCACTATAAACAGAATGTAAGCATGTAATCAATGCTCATTATGGTCCATTTCACCTGCCTATTCAATTGATTTATCAAGGTTTACTTCTGTTTACAGGCTTGCTGGAATGCAAACCACAAACAATACATTTACAATTGCAGAATGACATATGTTAGTGAAGCGGTTTTGGCTTTGTTTGTTTGCCTTTATTTTTTTTAAACTAGTAACATCTAGATGCCATAGAAGTAGAACTGAAGCTAAGGAAAGGACACAGCTAATTCCATTAGAAAAGCAGAAAATACAGCAAGTTAATACTTTTAAGAAGCAGAAATGCTGTGGAAATAAGATCCTATAATAATCAAAGACAGAAACAGTAAGAAGACTCAAAATTTTTTTATAACCACCAGTACTATTATAGAATATAAATCATGTTAAGTGTCAGATTACTGCAAACACAACACTACATCTGATGATAGAGCAAAGAAAATGTTTAGCATCAATTATTATTACTGCCTTCTATGTAGAAGCTGAGAGCATATAAGATTCACAATAGCTTCAGTCAGGATGTCAAATCACTAACAATCAAAGTTTTTCAGTGGGAATAAGAAATAGATGAGTCTGTATTTATTTCAACCTGAAAAACACGTGTTAACTGTGCATTCATGGAGGATTATCTCAAGTTATCAATATTTCTCTTCAACAGCATAAAAGAAAATCCCCAGAGACAAGGAGAAATCTATGTTGCATTCCATTGTTTCAAAAGAAATCATACAATCACTTGTCCCCTGATTTACAAATGTCCTTTCCTCTCTTAAACTCATTCATAGATATATTCCATTGTGGCCAGAAATAACTATACTGGATCATTGCCACCAATGCTGTTTACAATAAACAGAGAAAAACATAACATTAATACACCTCTCCAAATTTTTCCCTCCCCCTCAGTTAAGCTCTTTGTAATCAAAGAAAACAGCTGGAGTGTTTAATTATTTATTACTTCCTAAGGAAGATATATTTCAAGGAACTAGTTTATCAAGAGCTATTTTTTACATTGTTTGTTGCATGAGTAAGGAATCTAATGTACAATATAAATTGTTTTTACACTAGCATGATCCAGTCAAACCATATCAACTCTTTCAGTTCCAGCTGCTCAGAACAGAGATTTTATCCTAGAGTACTCCTAAATACTTTTTAAAAAAAATTTGTAAGTAAGCGATTCACACCAATTTTTCCTAACAAGACCCTTATATGTTGAATGGGTAACACATTGCTAGTGCTTCTGCTGTGGAAGACCTGTGGTTTAGGGCATAGCTGACAATAAATGCATCATCTTAGGTGTGTATATATAGTTGCCTTTGCGGAAGTCCTAAAATTTGAAACTTCACAAAAGATTCATTGTTAAATACTGCCTTTAGCCCAAAAAACATTTAGCTCTGTAAACATCTTGGATGCCTTGGCTCTGTGCAGCCAAGAGGCGTAATCAACAGGAAGTCTTTTTTTGTTTGCTTGCTTTGAAACACTAGGTTGTGTGGGAGAGCAAAACTTTCTGCAGTTACTTTTCAGATTAGAGCCCTATTACAATAACATTCCCTGTACATTCTGCTTAAGATTTGTTTCAAGTTTCATTTCTTAATTTCTGGGATAGCATACAGTTTGACTGCAATTTATTATATGCATCTGGTTTTGATTATTTTTAGCATAGTTTGTAACGAAACTACAACAAAATTTTATATAAAAAAACACGGAGAGGAAACAGCTTATTGCAGGTCACAGTGGGGTGACATTATTTCTCTTAATCTAAATTGGACAACAAACAAAGCTTCTCAATGTAAAAAAAAAAAAAAAAAAAAGGAGTACACATGAATGGTTGTTTTTAAGTACTACTCAATTGCAGCTTTTGCCTTGATTCAGTCTACTAGTACTGCCCTGACCTCTGGGAGTTCCTGTAGTGGTTTCTGCAACAGCACCGAGCTATCTGCAACCCACCAACATGTGAAACATTCTCTTTTCTCCTTCGCAGCTCTATTCAGGAGTGGAACTGAAATACTCTTTATTGTAAAACGAAACTATTTCCTGGGCAGGGAAACAAAGATCGAACTAAACCCCAGAGTTTTTAAATGTTGGAAGGCTGTTAATGTTAATTGTGGTCAAGGGAAAATGAGTGAGCACGTGCATCAAAAACACACCCTGGTTGACATTATTCCTTATCTTTCTCACTAAGGCTAGGCTGAAGACAGTACAGAGGCTAATCCATGCTTTTTATAGATATTTTTTCTTTGGGGACAACTTGGCTTGCAGAGCTTTAGCACAAGTAAGGGAGACTGTTATCCCAGCTGAAAGAGCTACACTAGTCACTACCAGCTCATCACAGTGCTATAACACACACAACAAACATAGTGTCATTCCATGCTTTAATGCACTTTTTAAAACAAGTTGACAATAACAACTAGCGCAGAAAAAACCAGATTAAAATTAATAGCAGCTTCCAACCAACTGGAAAACTGTCTTTCTACAGGTGTAAGAGTAACCCTTCTTTCATGGTGGAGTTGCTTAGGAGATGATGTTCTGGTCACTACAAATACAACCAGCTAGAGCACAGAAGCATGGGAATACTGATACCTGGCAAGTCCATTGTATCACTGAGTTTCGCTGTATTTGTTTCCACAATCAAAAAGAGTAAGCCTGCCCAGTTTTCTGGAGCCAAGCTCCCTGGAGTAAATTGTAACACTGGGCTTCTGTTCCCAGAGGCTATTTAACAGAGCACGTCTGGTTTACTTTTCAAATAGCATCAATAAGCTGACATACGTCAATTGATGTAATAATTGTATAATCTTTGAGTACATCTGGTTTTGCACAAGTCCAACAGAATGTAACCTGGAAACCAAAGTTTGCTGACACAAATGTGAAAACGGAGCAATACCAAGCTGCCTAGTAGCATGTAATAGACCATTAACACAGCTGCCAAAGTGCAGCTGGCGCTTTTCTCTACTTGCTCTGCTCATGTGACCATAGTGTAATTACGAGAGTGAGAGGGAAATAGTCTAAATAGTCCTTTAAGCCTTTCCCAAATTTATAGACAACATAATCCTCAAGATGAGAAACAAAATGAGTCTTAGGTCTCGTTTTCGCTGGTAATTTTCTCAGCAGTGAGACGTGTGAAGCACATATTGTGAGGAACCGCTCCACAAGTTACAGCACGGTATCTTCTTATGAATGCCTCATAAGGCATAGAAAAGTGCATCCTACTATACAGGATAATTTGCTACACTAATATTATTCAGATAGAGTTGAAGTGAATCATTAATCTGCACAGGGTTAGCTACTGAAGCAGGAAATCTCATTGTGCCTGACTCCCATCTGCGCTTCTATTTAAAAAATAAATCCTTCAGTTATAAACTGTTCATGTAAGTCAGAATATCATCAGAGGAAAAAATACAGTACCACAGAATTCCACATTTTCTCAACAGAACAATGTAATAGCTTTAATGCAGGCTTCCATCAGCTATCTGGTCTAATCTGTGTATGTACTTATTTATCATAATTATTTTATGGTGTGGATTATTATTCCAGTTCAGTGGCCAAGTAACCATGGTATTCTTTTATTGCAGAGAGTATAGAATTTTGCCAAGGGTTTGTTTCCTTACAGACTGGCATAAATACTGCTAAAACTTGTGGCCTTAAACATCCCATAAGTTTATTTAACCAGTCACTTAAAAGTGCTGTTAGGGGCAGCAGAGCACTGCAGCCATCCCCGGTCCCAATGCAAAATCCATCCAAGTGAGTAAACTGAGCAAGTTATCTAAGAACACCCTGCAGGCTAACGGGGTTATTGTCTGCAGCGGGGTACAACTCTTTAAGAGAAGTAGGGGAAAGAACATTTCTGGACTGTGTAAAATTTATTATGGGATGTGTTAAGAGGATTGTGTAAATGGATGAGCCTTACTATGGAACATTTGGGGGAGGGAATAAAGGAAGGTAAAGAGAGGGATCAAAGTGGACCAGGAAGGAACAAGTGTTAAGGCAGAAAAAAGGAGATAAAAGGAACCTTGAGTGTAAATAGCTAGCCAGTGAGCATGTTTGTCCTAACCTCATTGAAGTCTGTCCTATTTTCTCATTAAATCCTAAGTATCTTCCATATAGGTGTGTTCCCTCTTTTAAGTGGGTATGTGTGAACAAGAGTTAACTTCAAGCTCAACTAGCCAGCAAAGCAGAAAAGGTCTGAGTACCAGCAATTAGTGTAGGGCTGCAAATCTCCAAGGCTCTCCTGCTAGGGTGCCAGCAACTGGGGACACCAGTGAGATGAAGGCCAGCTAGTGGGCAGATTATCTAACACTACGGAAGTGTAGCATGCTGTGTATGCATCCACAGACATACACACACACACACGTCCCCAGCGGACTTTAATCCTAATCAGCTGGACAAGAAGAACAGGGTGAGGCAGCCTGTGCCAT